CTAGTTTACCGATGCCATGTTAACCTTTTTTTTTGTTGTTCCTTAAAAAAACGTTCCCCACGTTTCTAGAAGTCATACATGCTCATCATTTGCAACTGCCACAAGGAAAGAAAGGCGACCGTGGGGAGGCAGGGACAGAGCACGGGCTGTGCGTGGAAGTGGCCACCCCACCCCCTGCCTGGGCAGGGGGGGTGTGTGGCTGGCCCCCCCGGTCGGGTCCAAACTCCTGTGGGGACAGGGAGGCCAACCAGACACGGGTCATGGCCCGCGCCGGGACGCCGGCGCTGCCAGGTCACCTGCCTGGAGTGTGCACACTGAGAGCTGGCTGCGGAGGTGGAGGCGGTGAAGAAATGCCAGCTCTGTGTCGAAACACGCCGGCTGTGTCACCTTCTTTGGGCGCCGTCCAAAGGCCCCAGGGCTTTCTGTCCAGATACTCAAGTATCGGGGCGCAGCCTCTCCCCACTCTTCCCCAGGGTTCCTAGTAGAATTCGCCTCCAGGCTGGAGACGACTTGCCAGGGCCCGGGGCTGCCCTGGAACTCTCGCCGTGAAGCCCAGACGGGCCAGCCCTCTGGTCTGCTCCAGGGCCCCGCCGTCTCCTCCCCCGTGGGTCCTCCTGTTGTGTCCTCCGGACCTTCCCTCCTACATGCCCGAGCCTCCTCTGCGTGTTTTTACCTTCGCCAGGACCTGCCCGAAGCCTGCCCCCTCCCCGGGCCCGCAGTTCCCCCACCCGCCCTCGCACGCAGAGGCCCGGTCAGCTCCCCGAGCCGCACACCCCACAGAGGTGGCGCCCGAATCCCGCCGGCTTCTCCGGTTTGTCGTTGCACGCCCTTCCCCGCGACCTCTGCGGGCGACCGGTTCTGCCACCGTGTGACCCGTCCCGCCTCTGCCTCCGTCTGTCACCCACAGCTGCTCCCCGAAGCAGCTGCCGCCCTTCTGTCCCCTCTCCGCCCCGCGGACTCGGGGCTCCTCCGTCTTCTCCCATCTTCTCTCATCTTCTCTCTCCTGTTCCCTTTCCTCCCCTCCTGCTGGACCCGCCTATCATTTCAGCGACGTTCCCGGCAGAAGTTTCAAGCCCCTGCCCTCCCTCAGTCCTGCCTGATTAAACCCCAACCTCCCCGACTCCGCACAGCTGTCAGACGCCCACCTGCTAGGCCAGGCCCTACTGGCTCACCCGCCTGTCCCTTCCTGCGAACTGCCTCACCTCCCGCGTCCCAGGGGAGACTGGGGCCGCCGCAGCAGTCCGTCCTCCGACACTTGTCTGCGCCCACGCCCGTCAGCAGCTCCCCCGCCCCAGTCTGGGGCGGAGAAGGGTCCCTGCAGCCCGAGGTGCCCCCGGAGTGTGACTCCGATCCGTGGCCTGCCCTCCGCGGGTCTCTGCTCTCTCAGACGAGCCCTTCACCTACTACCACCGGTCCCTCCCTCACAGCGCATAAAGCACTGGGGCCTCTTCCATTTTAAAATAACGATAATGAGCCCTGGCTGGTGTAGCTCAGTGGATTGAACGTGGGCCTGCAAACCAAAGGGTCGCTGGTTCGATTCCCAGTCAGGGCACATGCCTGGGTTGCAGGCCAGGTCCCCAATTGGGGGCGCATGAAAGGCAACCACACACCGATGTTTCTCTCCCTCTTTCTCCTTCCTCTCTCTCTAAAAACAAATAAATAAAAACTTTAAAAAAAACACACAAGCATCTAAAAAGTAAAAAAAGAAAAAGAAAATAACAATAATGATGGTAGCTGATACCAGGCGGCACCCAGGGAGGCCAAGGGAGCCTCATCTCCATCCAGGCCCTTGTCACGGAACAAGCAAGAATCCAGGAGCACGACAGGAAGGGTTAGTGACGCGCCGTGAACTTATTAAAGCGACAGGACGCATTAGAGACGTGAGCGCAGGTGACCTCGGAGAACGAGACGTGCCCGTGAGTCTGGGTGGGAGGTTTCTATTAAACATGGGCTTCGGACGCTGGTGGGTGACCGCCGGTGTGGCTCACAATTTTTTTGGTTTAGTGTCCCAGGTTCGATTCCCAGTCAGGGCACATGCCTGGGTTGCAGGCCATGGCCCCCAGCAACTGCACATTGATGTTTCTCTCTCTCTCTCTCTCCCCCACTTCCTTCCCTCCCTAAAAATAAATAAAATCTTTAAAAAAATTTTTTTGTTTTAAGACTTTTAAAAAAGATTTAAAAGAATAAATAAATAAAATCTTAAAAAAAATTTTTTTGTTTTAAGATTTTTTTTTAAAGATTTATTTTTAGAGAGGGAAGGGACAGAGATAGAGAGAGAGAGAGAGAAACATCAATGTGCAGTTGCTGGGGGCCATGGCCTGCAACCCAGGCATGTGCCCTGACTGGGAATCGAACCTGCGATGCTTTGGTTCGCAGCCCACGCTCAATCCACTGAGCTACGCCAGCCAGGGCAGATTTTTTTTTTTTGTCCTCTGAATTACAAGAAATTGAGGAGGGGATGGCAGGGGAACAGGTGGCACCTGTGATGCTCCGGCCAAGACAGAGAAAGGGAGGGGCACGGCGGGAGGCCTCTGTCCCCCGTTCCGGCCTGCCTGCCTCAGAAGTAACAAGAACGTCGCGCTGTGCGCTCTGTGCCGGCAGAGCCCAGACCCCCCTTCCCTCCGCAGTCACGCGTCCTAAAAGGCCTGTTCTCCCGATCGGCCCCGCACTGGGGTCAACAGGAGCCAGTGACACACGGGGGACCTCACGTTTCAAACAAACACGTTTGAACCTAATCCTCCCGTGTTGAAGGCTGGTACCTACACAGTCCCATGCCCTGAACTCCGCCCAGGCCACGTTAGGTCAGTAAAGGGGCCCGGACGACAAGGAGCGCTGGGCACGGACTCTGTCTAACCGGGGGGCCTCTCTCTCTCTAAACTGCGTCACAGGAGGACAGGATGACGTCCTAGAATGCTGAGCGTAGTCATGGGAGTGCATAAAAGGGCAGGTGATAGACACCTACTTCTCTGCAGGTGGCAAAGGACAGCCAACAGGCAGTGATCAATGAACTTGGTAATAACAACAGCGAGGGGGCCTGTGGTCTTAGCTCTGGTGGGGTCGGGGGCAGTTCCTGGACTGCAAAGGTGTGTCACCATCATAGATGCAAACAGAAAACAGGCTCAGTCAAGATAGAGACTAGCCTTTGTTAAGGAAACATACCGCGCCTAGAATTGGCCGCGAACGCCCTTAGTTCCTGGGTTTTCTTTTCAGACCATCCTTTGTGGTTACTCTAGGGCTGTGAGTTTGTAAGGCTGCCGCGCAGGCCGCCCCTGAGCTGGTCAGGTTAACGTGTGGCCTCTCTCCTTCCACAGAAGCACGGACCCGGGCAAACCCCAGGTGTCCTTTCTGTTTGGTGTCACTTGCACCTTGGCAAACCTTTCCGTCAGGTCACCACAGCAGCTGCTCCAAGCCCCCTGAGCCCCTGGTCCGGGGTGGGGTGACTTGCCCCTCCCCGGGACCAAACTCTCCCCCTTGGGTTAATTAAATAGGGTGGTTTCTTTGCCCTGGTTTCCATTGCCAGAGGGTCCCAGGATGCCCCCCCTTGGTACAAATGGAACACTGGGATGGCCACTGAGACCCCTGCGCAAGCCCGGGCACTTGGGCCTGCAGAGGAGGTGGCAGGACTCAAGATGACGAGGGAGGGAGGTGGAAGGTACCTCTCTCTGGCCCTTCTCCCTGGAGAAGCGGGATTTTCAGGGTACCCTCTAAGCCCCAGACTCGTGCCTGTAGTGCATGGGGGGCCCAAGTGGACAAATCGCCGGTGCCGCATGTGCTTTGCCAAACTCATCCCGTCAAAACGCAGGACTGAGCTCTGGCCTGGTGGCTCGGCCGGTTAGAGCATCATCCCGTACACCACCGAAACGTTGCGGGTTCGATCCCCGGCCAGGGTGCTTACAGGAGGCAACCGATTGACGTTTCTCCCTCCCACCCCAAATCAATAAACATATCCTTGGAATAAACATGGGTGTTCAGACAAAGAAACTGAGGACTGAGAACAGGTGGGGGGCGGGGAGAACAGCTGTACCAACCCCCAGCCCCGGCAGCGGCAGCCAGCTAGCGTCTTGGTGTTTGTGTCTTTCAGACGGCGGTTCCGTGGTGAAGGCGCGAGTGCTGACTTGCGTGGAAGGCATGAATCTCGCGCTGTTAGAACAAGCCATCGGAGAGCAGAGGGCCTACCTGGGGGAGAGGGACGGCCGCCCGTAACAACGGGAGGCTTCCGGGGACCCTCCCCCACCCCGCGCCCGCGGTGAGCGGCGAGTCCGCTGCTGCGACGGAGGAGGCAGAGAAGACGCAGGGACTTACCCCGGGGATGGCCGTTTTCTGGAGCCTGACCCCACTCGCCCAGGAGAGCACAGGAGGCCGAGCGCCCGGCACCGCGGACTGGGGGCCTCGTGGGGGCGGGGAGGGTTCCCGAAGGTCCTCGGAATAAAGGCCGGCGAGACCTCGCCGCGTGCGCACGTGGTGCAGCGCCCGCCGCGGCCGGGAGGGGGAGCCGCGGAGCCGGCGGCCGCGCGCCGAGGCCGGCGCGGCGCGGGGCTTCTGGTGACTTCTCGGCGCGGGGCCTGAGGGGAGCGGGCCGGGGCGCCGAGTCCAGGTGGGGGCGCGGGACGCGGGGCGCCGGACGCCGCCGAGGCTCTGCCGTCAGGGAGGGCCGAGGCCCTGGCGGCCTGTGGCGGGACGGTGGCTCCGGAAACCCTCGCTGAGCCCGGACTTAGTGTGGCGCCCCCGCCCCCCGGCTGCCCCTCCGGGCAGCTCCGGGCCCCGGACCCCGGCCGCCGGCGCAGAGGCGGGCTGAGCCCGAGAAGTTGGGGCTCTCCTGCGCCCCGTAGCGGGGACCTTGCTGGCGGGGGCTGTGCAGCCCCAGACGGGGGTCCCGGGGCGGGGGGCGGGAGCGCGGGCCGGAGGGGCGGGGCCTGGGGGCTGCGAGGGGCGGGGCCTGGGGCGGGGGTCGGAGCGCGGGGGCGAGCGCCGGGCGCCGTCTGTTTCCCGGGCAGCCGCGCGGACATGGACGTGTTCCAGAAGGTGGAGAAGATCGGAGAGGGCACCTACGGGGTGGTCTATAAGGCCAAGAACAAGGAGACGGGCCAGCTCGTGGCCCTCAAGAAGATCAGGCTGGATCTGTGAGTGCTGGGCCGGCCCCTGAGACGCCCCGGCCGCCCCGTCCACCTTCCTTCTCAGGGTGTCACGTTCAGCTCGTGTGCCGAACGCTGCCCAGTTACACGCGGGTGGCCGCACAGGTCACCGGTCCTCCCGCCACCCAGGCCCCGCCTTGGGCCCCCGGTGGGGGTCAGTGTGCTCCGAAGGAGCCCAGTGCTGAGGGATGGGCCGTCCTGAGGGGATACGGAGCACGGGCGACTCCTCCCGGGGCAAAAGCACCCTCCTTGGCTTCCCGCCTCCACTGCTGTGTCCTCCCTTCCCGCAGGGAGACGGAGGGGGTCCCAAGCACCGCCATCAGGGAGATCTCCCTGCTCAAAGAGCTTAAGCACCCCAACATCGTCAGGTGAGGGGGGGAAGGAGGCGGGGAAGCTGGGCCTGCCCCAGGTGCCCCGGGAGCCGCATCCTGACCCGCGTCCCCGGCCAGGCTGCTGGACGTGGTGCACAACGAGAAGAAGCTGTATCTGGTCTTTGAGTTCCTGAGCCAGGACCTGAAGAAGTTCATGGACTCCACCCCGGTCTCTGAGCTGCCCCTGCACTTGGTCAAGGTACCGAGGGGAACGCAGCGCAGGGAGGACGCCCCGCGGCCGGCCTGTCCTCCAGCCCTGCTCACCCGGCCCCTCTCCCGCTGGCTGTTGCAGAGTTACCTCTTCCAGCTGCTGCAGGGGGTGAGCTTCTGCCACTCACACCGGGTCATCCACCGGGACCTGAAGCCCCAGAACCTGCTCATCAACGAGCTGGGCGCCATCAAGCTGGCTGACTTCGGACTGGCCCGGGCCTTCGGGGTGCCCCTGCGCACCTACACCCACGAGGTGCCATGGGACCGAGGGGAAAGCAGGGTAGCTGAGGCGGAGTCGCCCGTGTCCTCAGCTGCCCCAAGTGATGCGTCTCCTCATCCCCACAGGTGGTGACGCTCTGGTATCGCGCCCCCGAGATCCTCTTGGGCAGCAAGTTCTACTCGACAGCCGTCGACATCTGGAGCATCGGTTGCATCTTTGCAGAGATGGTGGGGGGCAGGGTCCTGCTGGGGTACGGCGGGGGTGGGGGTGGGGCTCTGATTCCCCTGTTGGAGGGGGATTAAGGGGCTGGCTGAAGGACGGAGGAGTGGGGCCTGAGTCCCGAAAGGCTGGGATTCTTCGCATAGCCTTGGGATGGGTCTCGGAGGTGCCTCCCCGGTCTGGCCTCTCATCTGGAATTGGATTCCCAGCGATGGGGGGGGGGGGGTCCCCACACACCTCCTCCTCTTCCCTGCCCCAGATGACCTGCAAAGCTCTGTTTCCTGGCGACTCTGAGATCGACCAGCTCTTTCGCATCTTCCGGACCCTGGGGACGCCCAGTGAAGCCATGTGGCCCGGAGTCACTCAGCTGCCCGACTATAAGGGCAGCTTCCCCAAGTGGACCAAGAAGGGGCTGGAGGACGTCGTGCCCAATCTGGAGCCGGAGGGCCAGGACCTGCTCATGGTAGGTCCAGGCAGGCGGCCAGGCCAGGGCAAGAGGGGCCACCTGGCTCCCGCTGCTGCCGCTCCCACCAGGAGCACCCCTTTTGTGAGCCGGTGTCTCATGTCACCCCGACTCCTTCCGAGTCCAGGCTGGTCTCTCTTCTGACCGCTGCGCACAGCCTGTCCTGGCGCCTGCTGGTGGCTCCGCCTGGAGACCTCGCCCGCCATAAGTCCCATGTTCACCCTCCCTGTTAAACCATCTGCTCCAGTTAGCCCTGTGCTGTGACTCTTGCCCTTTTTCCCTAAGTTGCTGTGTGTTTGGGGTAATTTCCCCTGCGGTCATTATTACCCCATCTTCCTGCAAGCTTGTCCAGGCGGGGACCACAGCTGCCCCCGCGTCAGTATTCCCCACAGCACCTCCCACGGTGGTCGCTCCCCCACAAGGCCAGTCCCGGCCCCCTGGGCCCCCGCCGCAGTCCTTGCTCTCACCCCTCCTGTCGCCCCGCCTTGGTCCCTTGGGCTGGCCCGGACCAGGGTGCCCCCAAAGACTCAGAGACACGTTTCTCCCTTTGATCCGGTGTTGATCGGAGGACGGCTGGGCAGTGTGTTCACCTTCGGGCTGCGCGCCCGGCTTTCCAGCCGTCTGTGTGTGTTTGCCAGCCCGGCCAGCAGGGCGGCACAGACTCCCGAGCAAGGCTTTCAGGAGGTGGGGGGGTCCCTCCACAGCCTGGCTGGGAACCCACCCACAGATGTGCTCCCTGGCCGGTTTGGCCCCTGCCCAGGGAAGCATCTGTCTCGACTCGAGGTTGGCCGGGGCCTGGAAACCTCGGTGAGGAGGGGAGGGACTGACCCGGCCTCGGGAGCCTGCAGCGCCCCCCCCCCCCCCCCCGTGACTCAGCAGGGCTGGGCCGGAGCTGAGCCCCGGTCTCCACGTCCCAGCAGCACCCAGAACTGGCCCCTGAGCTGGGGGGCGGCGGCTTTGTGCAGCTCTGGGCCCGAGGCCAGCAGTCTGGGGTTCGGGGGCCCCAGACGGGGTTCACCTGGGACTGTACTTCCTCTCCCTACGCTGGCCACACCGGGGCCTCCACACCTCCTTCCTCTTCCTCCTTCCTTCACAGCAACTGCTGCGGTACGACCCCAGCCAGCGGATCTCGGCCAAGGGCGCCCTCGCGCATCCGTACTTCGTGTCCGCCAAGACCCCCCGGGCCCCCCACCAGTGCGCGCTGGAGCATTTGTGCCGCTGAGCGCGTGTGAGGCCACCACCCTCGAGCCTCCCCGCAGCTGCTGCCCCGGCCGCCTGCTCACCAGCTGTCCAAGAAAGGAAACGTCTAGGGAGAGAGCAGAGCTCTAAGGAGTTTGGCCTCAGCCACCAGGGAGCTGAGTTTGGGTTAGTCCTGCTGACAAGTTAGCGAGTTGCTGTGTTGTTCGTGGGGTTCGACCGTGCCGGTTCAAGATGGGGGTACAGAAGCTCTGGGTACGAGGGGCATGTTAGAGGCGGGGTCTCCTGGCACTGGGGCAACCGCTGGAGGATGGAGGAGAACGCCACCCAGCAGAGCCCTACTCTGCGGGAAAGGGTGCCCCCTGCTGGCCTCGTTGGGTTTAAAATGTTTTGGAGAAGAGTTGATTTCCAGTTGGAGTCCTCAGTTGAAAGAGAGGGGACGTTTCCCTGTTTCCAGGAGAGGTGGGGGTGCGTGTCGCTGTTCTGGGTAGTTGTCAGCTAGGACACGCTCACGTTTGTTTGTCTCAGGCCTTAAGAACAGGAAATAAAAGTGATGCATTGAGTTTTCCCGTGGTGTTCTGTCGGGGGCACGCCAGGGACTCGCCGTCCTCCATCCCCTTCCATGACTGGCCAGCACGTCCCCTCTCCCTGAATCAAAGGGGCCTCACCCTCGGAGAGCCCCCGGTTCCCATGGGGCCCAGGGGGCACGCTCAGTCCCCACCCGGGCAGTGGTGTCCCTGGTGCTCGTGCCCCAGACAAATTCACTCCACATCAGCGGTCCCCAGTGGGTGTGGTTGGGGGGGCAGGGGGTGGAGGGGGCAGAGGGCGGGACAGGAGGTGAGCTCGGGCGCTATGCATCGCTTGGTCACTTGCTCCCTCCTGCTGCTCGCCTTCTGCTGTGGGGCTGGGGACCCCCGCTGTGCACCCCCAACAGTGAACGACAGGTGGGAGAATGCGTTTATTGGAAGTGCTGGGCTGGGGGGGGGAACAGATCTGCTGGTCTCTGGGTGGTCTGGGGATAGACCCGACTCCACAGTTAGGGGAGGGACCCGACACCATGCATGCTGAGTGACAGGACAGGGATCAGACGGCGGAAGACCCACGCCCCGGACTGGGCCGCTCTGGGGTGAGGGGTGCATGCCTCCTACCCCCACCCCTCACGTGGGGGGCTCCTGGGACTCCTCGGCCCCCTCAGCGCAGCGCGCGCGGCACGGTGGGGGAGGCCGAGCGGAAGCAGCGGTAGCCCTCCAGCGCAGCCGGGAGGAGCAGCAGGCCGCTCAGCGGGTCTCTCCGGCAGCGTGCCATGGCCTCCTTGTAGCTCAGCCGCTCCTTGGAGATGGGGTCTGTCAGCTCCTTCTCGTAGCTGGACTCGTCCCGCAGGAGCTGGGCCAGCTCCTCGCTGATCATCCCGGAGAGCACGGCCTGCGGGATGGGGATGCGGCCCGTCCTCTTGGGGTCGATGAGCCCGCCGGTCAGGTGCTGCACCAGCAGGTGCGGGAGCACGCTCTCCCGGGGCATCCAGCCCTTCTGCACGGCCTCGCCCACCGACAGCCTCTTCCTGGTGACGGGGTCCTCGATGCCGGTGAAGGCCTTCTGGGCGTTGAGCAGCCTCTGCGTGGAGGTGTTCTCGATCAGGCCCCTCTCCATGGCCTTGTGCACGGAGTAGCGCTCCCGGCTGAGGAGGTCCACGATGCCGCCCGTGGCCGCCTGGGCCTCCAGCAGCTTCTGCCCGGTGATGGGGTCCAGCATGTTCTTGGCCATGGCCGTCTTGATGGTGCACTTGTTGTCTGTGGTCGTGTCGTAGACGCCGGCGATGGGGAAGCTGTCGTCGCCGAGCCCCAGGGGGAAGCCGGGGGAGAAGAAACAGGTGTGCTTCTGGGCGGCCGGGGAGACAGCCGGGGACTTGGAGATGATGGAGCCGATGGAGAGCGAGGAGCAGGGCTTGGTCTCCCCGGCCACGAGCAGGGCGAACTCGGAGATGGACAGCTGGCCCTCCTTGTAGAGATGGTACTCCTCCTTGGAGATGCGGCGGCAGCGCAGGGCGGCCTCGATGGAGTACTGCTTCCCGCTCTTGCGGTCCAGGAGCACCGACTCCTCCCCGCAGGGGCCCGAGGTGGTGACCTCCTCCCAGTCGCACTCGAGCTCCTGCAGCTGGAGGTACTGGGCTCGATCGATGACGCCCCTCTTGTAGGCCTCGTACGGGGACATGTCCTTCCCCGTGTCGGGCTCCAGGATGGAGATCTTGGTGGAGAGGTTGGTCTCCCGCGTCTGGGTCTCCTGGTTGAGCTCCTCCCGGCTCACCTTGGTGTGCAGATCCCGGAGGGTCCTCTCCTTCTTGTGGATCTGGTCCTTCTCCTGGAGGATGGCCACCTTGAGCTGCGAGAGCTCCTGGCCCTGCTGGGTGGCCTTGTTCCGCTCGCTCTCCGTCTTCTGGCTGAGCAGCTTCACCTCCTCCTGCAGCTGCAGCACCTTCTGCTGCTTCTGCCTCTCCAGCTCCCGCAGGTCCTGCTGCAGCTGCCTGCACTCCTGGCTGGCCTGGTTCCGGGCCTTCTGGAGCTCGGCCTCCTCCCGGGTCCAGGTCCTGCTCAGCGCTTCGGCCTTGTCGATCCGCTCCCGGAGGCGCTGCGCCTCCTCCTCGCGGCCCTTGCGGCCCGCGCGCTCCCGGCTGAGCATCTCCCACAGCCGGGACCGCTCGCCCTCCAGCACGCGGTCCTTCTCCACCCTGATCACTTCCTTGTAGATGGTCTTCTCCTGCGATTTGGTTTGCTGGAGGATGTCGATCTGCACCTGCAGGTTCTTGCACTCGCGATGCAGCTCCGTCACCCGGGCCTTCTCCCGGTCCAGGTCCTGCCGCAGGGCCTCCGTGGACTTCTCCAGCTCCGGGTCCTTCTCCGTCTTGACCACCTCCTCCATGATGATCTTCTCCTGCACCGCAGGGGGCCGCTTCTCCAGCTCCTGGATTCGCAAGGTCAGCCGCCGCAGCTCCTTCTCCACGGCCAGCTTCTTGTCGCGGTCCTCCTGGAAGCTGAGCAGGCCCTCCTTCTCCTCCACGCTGGCCAGCAGCTGCTGCACCTCCCGCTCCAGCTGCCGCCGCTGGCCCACCTCCTCGTCCAGGCTCCGGCTCAGCCGCCCGTGCTCCTCGTGGAGCTTCGGGTCCTTCTGGGTGACCACCACCTCCCGCACCACCACCTTCTCCTCGGGCCGCCGCCTCTCCAGCAGCAGGTACTTGTTCTGCAGCTCGTAGACCTCGCCCTCGGTGGCCCGCCGCTTCTGGGTCGCCTCCCGCACCTCCTGGCGGAGCCGCTCGGCCTCCTTCTCCAGGACTGGGTCCTTCTCGTGGCGCACCACCTCCTTGCTCACCGTCTTGGTCTCCACCTTGGACCGCTCTCGCCTCCACTCGTCGCGCTCCCCCTGCAGCCGGATGCGCTGCTCCTGGGCCCGCCCGCCGGTGTTGACCAGCTCGTTGAGCTGGGCCTTCAGGCGGTCGATCTCCCTCAGCACCTCCGGGTTCCTCTCGTGCTTGACCACCTCCTGCGTCACCTCCTTGTACTCCACCACGGGCTTCTGGGCCCTCAGGACCGCCAGGTCGGGCAGCAGCCTCTCCACCTCCTCCTCCACGCCGCTCCTCTTGGCGGCCGTCCTCTGCAGCTCGGCCCTGAGCCGCGCGATCTCGCGCTCGGTCTCCGGGTCCACCTGGAAGGTCTCGTGCACACGCTCCTGCAGCTCCACCTTGGGCTTCTGCTTCTCCGCCGCGCTGTGCTTGTCCCGCAGCTCCTGCAGCTCCTTGGCCAGCGTCGCGTTCTTACTCCGCTCCCCTTCCAGGAGGCTCCGCAGCCTGGACGCCTCCTTGAGGAGGCCCGGGTCCTGCTCCACCTTCTTCGCCTCCTTCACGATCACCTTGGGCTGCACGGTGCTGATCTCCCGCTCCAGGTCCCGGATGCGCGCCTGCAGCCGGGCCACGGCTTCGTCCGCCCGCTGCCTCTGCGCGGTGTCCTCCTCGATCTGCAGCCGCAGGGCCCGGGCGGCCTTGACCATTTCCAGGTCCTTCTCCACCTTGACCACTTCCTTCACCACAACCCTCTCCTTCACGTCCGCCTCCTTTCGCTCCAGGGCCAGCAGCTCCTTCTTCAGCTGCTCCAGCCGGGCCGTGACGGCGGTGTTCTCCCCCCGCAGGTGCTGGAGCTCGCTGCTGAGCCGGGCCGCCTGGCTGTCCAGGCCGGGGTCCTTCTCTATCTGGGTCACCTCCTTGGTCAGCAGATGGGGCTGCATGGCCTTCCTCTGGCTCTCCAGCTGGACGACCTTCTGGGCCGCCGCCTCCAGCTCTGCCTGCAGGCTGGCCCGCTTCCTGCCCTCGTCCTCCACCTGGGACTTCACCCTGGACAGGCTGCTCTCCAGCTGGGGGTCCCGGTAAAACTCCACCACTTCCTTCTCCTCCAGCCTCTCCACGGGCCGCTGGGTCCTCAGCCGCAGCAGCTGGTTCCTCTGCTCCTCCAGCTCGCGCTGCACCTGGGCCACCCGTTGTCTCTCCTCCTCCAGCTGGGACTTCAGGGCCTCTGACTCCCTTCCTGCTGGGGCGGGGCTCTCAGACCCCTGCTGTGCACTGTGGGTCGCCCGGATGTCCTCACTGAGCTCCTTCTGCGGAGGGAGAGGGAGAAGGGCGGAGTACTGGGGAGGAGAAGAAGCAAAGGAGCCCCATTCCTCCTCCCACTCGAGACCAGAGACACCCCCTGCTTCCTGAGACCCCTCCCAGTAGGTTTTGGGAGTTGGAGCTGAGGACCTGAGACGCTGGGGTACAGGATTTTGAGAGGACCCTTGAGTCCCACGATGTTAGGATGCAAGACAGGGCTCAGGCCGAGTTTGCACAGAAACGTACAAATAGGACAGGTGTGGCCTTCCAACCTGTCCCCCTTCCCCTTCCATTCGGGCTCCCCAAAATGGGCCCACGCCCCTCTGGGGGATGCTGGAGTAGTCCTCTGGGCAGGACAAGCTGGCAAGTCCCTTGGTCAGCCACCAAGAGTCACGGAGAGCCTCCGGCTCCCAGTCTCCCGGGGAGGACGACCCCTGGGTCCTAAGGCAGAAGGCTCTGAGGGGTCGCCCCCCCCAGGGGACTGACTGCCCAGTGGCTAAGCCGTGGACTCCCTGAGTGGCGTCTCCAGGATCTTACTCTGAGATGGAGACCGGCCTCTGAGGGCCGCTGGGGAGGGCGAGCAGGGGGAGGCAGAACCCCGGGGCTGCGGGTGGTGGGGCAGGGAAAGGCAGACGGCCCCCTCCGCCATGGGGCTGGCTGCCTTGTGCGCGAACGGAGGGGGCACCCCTCCCCCCCACCATACCTTCTCCAGCAGCTTCCTGGCAAACTCCAGTTGGCGCAGCTGCTGCTGGTGCACAGCCACAGCCTTGGTGTAGGCTTCCGTCAGCTGCTGCTCCTGGAGAGGCCAGAGGGGGGTGCGCAGGACGCCACGGTCAGCTCCCGCCTCAGAGGCCCCAGAGCCGGTGCCTCACCGGGTCCCGTCTCACCTGGGCCTGGATGCTCTCCTGCAGGGGAGCCACTCGGGGTCTCTTGGG